AGTGAGCGGAAGCGTACGCCTTGCCAAACCAGGAAGCTGCCACAGTGGCCGATGCCCTTATTAAGGAGTGGATTTGTCGTTTTGGTGTGCCAATGGAGATGCATTCAGACCAAGGCAGGAACTTTGAATCTATACTGTTCCAGAATGTCTGTAATATTCTTAGCATTCGGAAGACGTGGACGACTGCATTACATCCGCAGTCTGATTGAATGGTAGAACGAATGAATCGAACGATAAACCGGTACCTGTCCAAGGTAGTCTCTGATCACCAAAGAGACTTGGACCGCTTCCTCCATCTGTTCCTATTGGCGTAATGTTCTTCTATCCACGATACAACCGGCCAGACACCCGCTAGCATTGTTATGGGACGTAAACTTCGTCTACCTTGTGACCTGAGGTTTGGTTGCCTACCAGGGGAAGACATTGTTGGAGAAGATTACGTTAGCAATTTACGTATGAGAATGAGCGACATTCACAGCCGAGTTCGTTTAAACATCCAGAGTGCCAGTGATAGAATGAAAGAGGCATATGACATCAAGGCGGAAAATGGAGGATTTCAACCTGGAGACCTAGTTTGGTTATACAACCCTCAGCGCCGTCGTTGTTATTCACCGAAGTTGCAGACTTCTTGGGAGGGACCTTACGAAGTCATGGATCGAATAAATGACATCATCTACAGGATCAGGAAACAACCAAGAGGAAAGCCGAAAGTGATCCATTTCAACCGATTGGCTCCTTACACTGGAAACAATGCTCAAATAGACGATGCTAGAGTAAGGAGGGTTAATCCGCCGGAAGACGAGTTGCCTTTTGAAGACTTCATGTATTTATATTCGAGCGGTGTCACTCGAGAAGAACAAAAAGATCTGTTCACGGTTTCGGCCGATTACTCCTTGGCTCACTGTGTTGCGGAAGACCTTAGGATGTCCAGGGGAATAGCGGTTGTCTTTAAAAACAAGTTTGGACGGGCCGACGAGCTACGAAGGCAGAGTCCCAAAGTTGGAGAGGTGCTTGAAATTGTGGATAATGAGCAGATAGGCAACCGAAGTATCTTCTATCTGGTAACGAAGCCAGCTCTCCCATCAGAAGCCAAACTACCGTGACATATGGAATGCCTTAAATAAATTGAGGGATGCCCTTTTATCCAAGGACATCATGAATCTGGCGATACCAAAGATTGCTTGTGGACTTGACGGTTTAGACTGGAGAATAATTAGAAGTATGGTGCAAGTTATCTTCAGATTTAGTGGCATACACATATACTTTTAAAGGGCAGCTTTTTACCTTTCTTTTAGACAAAATTAAAAGAATATTGTAGCGAGTACCGCTCTGGATATCGTAATGCTGACTCATCGTCGATGAGTCATAGCCGGTGAGTCAGCGCTCGAACAATCGAGAGTGTGGGGCTCGCTGGAATGTTCCAGAAGACGTAGGCGCTGAATATATAAGGAACGGAGCAGCATGAAGAGTCAGTCAAGCTTTAGTACTCGCGACGAAATAAATAAATATACGTGCAAATAAATAGACTCTAGTACAGTAGTGATATATAAATAATTAGTAGTTAAGTGTTTAGTTAGTTTTATAGTTTCTTAGTGTTTTAAGTGTAATTAAGTTATAAAATAAATAGTTTAGTTCGTTAATAAACCAGTGCGTGTTTTAATTCACACTACGAACAGTTAAAAACGTCACAATATAAAACTGTCCAAGGTTAACAAAAAATTGTTAAAAAATAGAATTGATATTTATATCTATCCTAAAAAATTGATAAAAATTATTTAATTTAAGTACTGAAAACATACTACATACATTAGAATATTCGTTATTCTAGTCTTAGAAACATATTGAAATGTTTTTAATTGTAATTTAATATTACAATATTAATATTATGTAATGTAATTTATATTATAGTTACACTTGTTTATTTATATCGAGGGCGTCATATCAGAAGGGCGTAAGCGCCACTATGGTCGGATTTGGGTTTTTTGGGCGTATGGGCTTATTTTATCAATCCGCTTGATATATCAGAAGGGCATATAGATTCGTGAACATCAGCACCAACCCAACCCAACCCAACCCATTTTACTTAGGCGTATGAACCCATACGCCCCAAAAAAACCCAAATCCGACCATAGTGGCGCTTACGCCCTTCTGATAAGACGCCCTCGATATGTTTAATACTGTTTATGCATTCATTCATTTATTTATTTATATTTACACCACTATTGTACATTATTTAATGTTGTTTTTGTATCTTTAATATTTTAATATGAACTGTATTGTGAAAAACTGTTGGGCAATAAATACATTCGGTTTTTTTTATTTCCAAATTACTTAAAACTTTGTATAATTGAAATTAAATAAAAAAAATTCAATTTTTTAAATCTGGAAAGTTGCTTTGGAAAACGCCCATCGTTTGGAATTTATTTCTTGAAATATAAAGAAAATTTGTGATGTTCAAAATCAATAACACCTGAATACATCATTTTAAAAATATCAGATTAGTTTTTGAGAAAGCGTCCGCCATATTGTTTTTTAAAATTACGATAACGGATTCGTATATACTATACATACAAAATAATTATTTTGAAAATTTCAACTAATATAACGCATTCTATTTTTGTCCACTATTTAGAAAATCTAGCAAACTGTGCGAAATATGTATATATTTTATATTTTAATAATATGTTTTGTTTATTATAAAGTATATCCCGTATGGTCTAGTATTATAGGAAAAAAAATAAAAAACTTTTACTCACAAAAATACTCCATCAAATTAAGTGAATACAAAGAAAGAAAATTTAAAATATGGCACATTGTATTAAGTAGAGGTGGGCTGTTCGATACAGAAGCCGTATCGATACGATATCGATATAATTTTCAAAATATCGCTTATATCGATACAATTTCGAAACGATATAAATAAAAACGCTTATTAAATGAATTTAATTATTAGGAAGGTACCGAAAAAAAATTAAGGTATATGAAAATTTGCAATTTGTTTCGCAATTGTTTACAATGTTAACTTTAAATAACTTGAAATAACTTAAACCAACCAAACCATAGAAAAAGGACAATCCACACAACATTTGTTGTGTGGATTGTGAGAAAAAGTACCAAACCAAAGTCAAAACTAGTTTTGTGATAGCCACTTAAAAGTCAGCTGCAATACCAACTGTCAGCCTTGATCGAACAAACTTCCAAAATTTCGTTTATTAAAAATACGGTATAACCGCAAAATCAAATTTTCATATATGGCATTTTAAGGACTTTTCATAATTAACTAAATAATCGATACAATGTATTCGATACATAAATTTATATCGATTCTAACGATATCCCGTTCGTATCGATACGTATCGTATCGAACAGCCCACCTCTAGTATTAAGTTAAATTACCAATAAAAACATTTATTCCATAAAGGGTATCCTAACCACAAGATCATACGGGATATACATTATGTAAAACAAAACTTATCAAAAAGAAAAGGAATATCAAAAAAACTAAAATTCTTTTTTCGCAGTATACCTACTATTAAACCCGTTTAAAACATATCTTCGATATTTATCCCGCGGTAGTAAACAAATGACTGCATGCTCTCCTGATACTTGAAACCTTAGATGTCCATGCTTAAAAACGTTTAAACCCATTTTCGATAGAGGTACTACGGTATTTTCAGCAATAGTTGATATATTGTAGAGGCCTCTAAAGTGACATTTTGCCAGGCTGAAAGAAGAAATGTAGCGATTGCATGCTCTACTGATACCTACAGGTGTTTAAAAGCGTTTTATTTTATTTTCCGTGGCATATAAAACGCTTCAATTTTTTGGATTTACACCTCTCTAAAGGAGTTCAAAAATAAAGAAAAATTGTCAAATAAAATATGGTGTTAAATTTATAATATGATTTTATAATTTTTTCTAATATCTTTGGTATACGTTTTAAAACGGTATATTTTAGGGGAAAAAATGTCCCCTGCAATTTATGTCATTGGGCCGATGCTCTAGTACGAAAAATTCAAATATTAGGTGGTGCTAAAGTAGGTATCCAAAATAGCGTTTTATATTTTTTAACCCCGAAAACATTTTTTTAAATTTAAGCAGCATTATATTAAGTAAGTTGATTATCTCGAAAAAAAACTACAAAATTCATATAAACTTTTTTTTCGTACGATTCACCGTTTTGGAGTTATATCATGCGGAACAAAGCTTAAGGAAGATTTATGTGCTATAGGTAACTCCGAAACAGTAAATCAAAGAAAAAAAGTTAACATTTTTTTCAAGATAAACATCTTTCTTAATTAAAAAAATTAATAAAATAAAATTAGATACTTTAGCGCCACCTACTTTTTGTCCTAGAGCATCTACCCTATAGCATAAATTGTAGAGGACATGTTAAATAATTTACCGTTTTCAAGAAAAATTAAATAAATAAATTTAAAAATGTATATCAAATTAATTAATTAATAGTTTTTATACAAGACAATTAAATTAAATATCTATGATAAAAACAAGTAAGTACCTGATTTTTTAACAAACCGTTGATTAAATTTAAATATTAATTTATTTATGTTCATAAAAATGTTCTACAAATGTTTTCTCAAATTTCATAAAATGATTATTGTGCTAAATTTAACTTTGAAATAACATTAAAACGAAGGGAGTTATGAAAAAAATAGACCAATGCATCCAATTTAGGTATGAAGTTTGACCAGCGACGTACAAGAAAAAGTTCCTTTAGGTTCAAAACTACATGATCAGGACAAAATTGTCACCTGGTATAATATTAAAAAACAAAAATACTTTAAATAATGTATTTCCTATAGATATAAACGTATACCAAATTTAGATAATGTATATTTCAGAAGTCCTAAAAAATATAACTTTATATACCTTAAAGAATAAGAAAAACCCAACTAGCTAGTGAAATTCTAATGGTATTAACTGGACGGCTATGTATAGTTAGTCAGATAAACACTTTTAATTCGAATTTTTTTTTTTAGAATTAAATTTTTGGAAATATATTGCAAAGCTGTTAACAGAGAATATTATGAAAATTCGGTTAGACTTAGAATAAAGCCAATGAAACCTTTACCAAGTCTTATATCTGAACCAATAATTAAAGAAACCAAAAATCTTCAATTTTATTGTGACTTACCAGTTATTGGATATAAATCTGAAAGTGAATCATTTGAAGTAAATTCGTTACTTCTTCTAAAATGTAATAATAGTAAGTATTTTTTTTTCATTATTAGTATAAATGAATAAAAAGCATGACCAATTTTTTGTTTATATTTATTTTTTAATGATTTATGAACCATTCAAATTGAGTCTAAGGAAAATATAATTTTATACATGAACTGGACACATACATTTTCCGATTAAATAAAATAGACAATCTTAGAAAGAAAAAATAGACAACCATGTATGCATAGAAGCAGATCTGCTAGATATGAGTTTTAAATTAAATAATGTTTATCAACTGTTCGTTTTCATTCGGGTTTTGTTTTTCGAGCCGGTTACTTGCTCTATGTAAACAGTTTAAAAAATAAGTGACTTGTGACCCTGGACAAAAATACGTTGGTCAGTGCCAAATACATAAAGTCTACAATAGATTAATTAATTTACGAATGATTTCGACGATGGATGGGTGAAATATTTAAAGAAATATTAGTGCATACAGCCATCTGCCATAGGGTGCATGGTTGGAATTGAACGATAAAATGGAGTTTCAGCAATGAAAAATGTATTATGCTATTTATTATGTGTGATTTTATGGAAAATCAACTGAAGAAATATTTGGATAAATTATTTTTTAATGTATGTAATAATTAAATGGTTTGAACAAGTGGAAGAAATATAATATATTATATTATAAAGTATGAAAGTGGAAGATATACCCGGACAACATTCGTGATATTCATACGAACATCACGTCGTGATTTTCACAAATTTTATTCATACTGATATCATACGGAAGTCACCGCGTGATAAATGAAAATCATACGAACGTCACGTCGTGATTTTCACAAATTTTATTCATACGGACATCATCCGGATGTCACTGCGTGAGAAATAAAAATCATGTCGTGATTTTTTATGCCAACGGTGTTTGGATAATCATTTTTACGCCACGTTCGTACACTAAGAGAAAAATTATGTTGAATCAACAGTTTTTGTGGTTAAATAAAAATATTCAATATTTTTTTGGATTTAAATTAATAGTTAATTTACATTCAAGAAAATATTAAATGTATTTGACCGCAAAAACTGTTAATTCAGTTGTTAACATACTTTTTCTTTCAATGTACGAATGTGGCGCAAAAATAAATATCCAAAGATGTCGGTGCACCGATGGCATAAAAAATCATGTCGTGATTTTTTATGCCAACGGTGTTTTGATAATCATTTTTGCGCCACGTTCGTACACTAAGAGAAAAGTTATGTTGAATCAACAGGTAACAAAGTAGGTTTTAAATTCGCAGTTCGCAGGGCTATTACGCATGCGCAAATTTTGCAAATATCACACCGTGAGTTCTACATGATATCACTGTGATGAAGCATGTGTATGCACTCAGGATATCACGGCGTGATAAAAAAAACTCACGTTGTGATATCATCATGACTTCACCAGGAAATCCCGATTGTTGTCCGGGTATATGAAGTATGAAAGAAAAAAGAAACAAATATGGAAAAAAAGTGAAAAAAATTAATAGATTTTTAAGAAGAATTATGTGGATGATTTTAAGTGTATTGTAGCAAAATAAACGTGGAAAAAAAATATTTTAAAAATGATTCAAGGGATGAGTTAAACTCAGATTCTCTTGTTTGAGACCCTCGATCATATTGAAATTTAAATTAAAACATAATGAGCTGGCCAAATAGCTTTTAAATAGGCTATAGGTCATAACCATTGAACACAGCCCTCTGTGTTCAGATTTATGAAAATGAAAAACTGTCCGATTTCACGAATTAAGCAAAATTTTGCCTAAAATGGTCAATTATGTAAATTCGGCGTAACAACTACGCTGTTATTTATTGATTATTGAAACTCGGTATATCGACTTAGTTTTTATCTCCAAAGTATACTCCTCAGCACAATTCTGCTCTAATCAAGCCTGCCTAAGCTACTTAACCTTAATAAGTTTAGTTAATTAAATATATTAGTACCTCTCAGTTGTGTCGCGAGATTTACTATATTTTATTTTATCTTTTTTTACCTGTTGAATTTAATACTTGTATCTGTATTAACTTACAACTATAAAAAAAATTTCATGTACGTTCTCCTACAAATTCGCTGATCGCTGGTAGTCGTGACCGGGGTAGCTGCTACGTCCAACGACTAACGAAAAGTTATTTGTGACAGCTGCTTATTAACTTGTAGGAGAACAATTCAATGAATTACATTGTTTGAGTCTTGGCCACTAAGTAGCAGCCACCAGGTAGCGACTACCAACAAATTTTTAGGAGAACGTTCCTTAGGAGTGTCGCGAATTTGTAAGGAGTATTTTGGTGCGTCACTGAGTAAAAAAGGTTGGGAACCGCTGCAGAGCGCTGGTCTAGTGGATAGAATGTCAGTCTATCACACGTCAAGATAATCAGTGAAACCAAGTGAAAACCAAATAAAAAAATATGTGGCCCATAGGCAAGATAGACCGGCAACCACCGCTGTGGAGAAGTGGCTTGGTGGAAGATAATATAGAACAGGCAAAAACCAACCAATGTATTTCCATAACTGACAATAACATACACGGAACATTTACATCAAATGAATATGCAGTGGATATCCTTTATGGATATACATAGGATATCCTAGATATCAAATGGATAACCATTGAATATATAAATGTCCGTCCCTGCTGGAAGTGGTTTGGATATCCAGTGGATAGTAATAAGGTTGTCATCTGTATTTGATAAGGTTATTCAATGGATATAATTATTTTCCAATAAATTAAATTGGGTTTATATATTAAAATAAAACTCTTCTTTACTTTAAACATTTTTTTTTTATTTACCAAAGGTCCATAACAAGTAAAATACAATATAAAAATGTAGTGATTGTAACAAGTTTATACAATATATAATTCACTTAATACTCTGTATTGTAGTTTCTTTCTTCAATTATTAGATTTTTTACAGCCCGCTGGAAAGCATTGATATTTGTTTGGTTCTTAATTTCATTTGGAAGTTCATTGTATAGTTGAGCTGCATTTCTAGTTAGACTTTTTCTACCAGTATTGCATGTATTAGGAAGTATAAATATATCATATCGATTTCTTGTAGGATAATTATGAATATCACAGTTATTTTTCAGGTTTATACTGGATTCAATTAAATTGTTTTTTATTTTGTAGATAAGTTTAACACTGTCAAGTTTTATCATCTCATTTATTGTTAGTAAGTTAAGTTCATTATAAAGGTCTTTTGTATGTGTCCTATGATGCTTGCAGTACAGAACTTTTATTACACGATTTTGAGTTGTTTGTATTCTTTTAATATCAGTTTTTCGAGATTGACCCCAGAATACGCATAGATAATTTAAGATGGAGTGGATATAAGCATAGTATATGGTATATCTTGTTTGTTTGTTAAAATATTGTGCATTTCGTTTTAAGTAGTAGCTTATGTTGTTAATCTTTTTTCTAATATTATCAATATGCTTTTCAAAGTTGAGTTTATTGTCTATTGTAAGTCCTAAATAGCAAAACTGGTCTACTTCCCTAATATTTTTATCACAGATTTTTAATTGGTACAGGTTATCACAGTTAGGTTTATTAAATGTCATATATACACACTTACTTTCATTTAGCTTGATTTTATTGTTTTTTGTCCACTTATTGATTTTTTCGAGATCGTCACTATTATATACAGTGTAGTCGAGTAAAGTACCGTTCGAAACAGTGCTACTATTTGGGTTACTATAGTATGTATACATAACGGTACAGGTGAAATCAGGGTACTCGCGTGCGGGTGAGCTCTTGAAACGTAAAAGTTTAAAGATGAAACTAACAATAATTAAGTGAATAATTAAGTGAAACAAACATTTTCATGGAGTGCAAGCTAAAATGGTGTAACGGTCATTGAGGAGTGGAGTGTTGGGTGATATGAATGACTGGGGTGTCACCTGTCATTGGAGGCTTTTCACTGGACTGACGGGGGAGGTCGGAGAAGAGGGGAGGTGGCCATCCGCAAGGGGAAAAATCTGATAAGTTTTACTTTAAGAGTATGCATGACCCATGATACATGTGCATGACCTGATACAAATCTGCAATATAAATACGGCAGATCCCAGCAAGCATTTTCCGTTATTTGTCACCATTAACATTGCCCGTATTCATTTCATTAAACATAACATTTATTTTACTTGAAAATGTTAAAATAACTTTAAAATATGATTATGTTAAGAACATATTTTACTCTTTAAACAATTGTTTTGTTTTTACTATCATTGCAAAATTGTATTAAAAAGTGTTAAAAACTCTTACACGGGCAATGTTAATGGCGATAGGTATCGTTAAGTGTTTATTGGGATATTTTTAAAACCTATGAAGAGCACGCGGCGTGGGGCAATAAGTCTGTCAACAGCAAATGCGTAAGGCGGTCCTAATCGAGACCGAAAATAAACACTGGACTGACAGAGTAAACTAACATTGATCACATAATTCTAACACATTAAAAAAAAGGGCCCAATAGCCAAACTCGAGATTTGTAAACATTAGACAACAGAATAATCGCGCTTGTGATTTGTTTGACTAGTGAATAAATGCAATGCTTTGGAATTTGATAAACAAAGACGGAACTCTACCACAAAACGTGCTTGGGACAAAAATTATTAAAAACAACTGACACACTTTACCAAGGGCAGGAACTATCTGACCAGGACACGGACAATGACAATAACGAACAAGACAAAGACCTCGACTAGGAGACTACACCCCTGCAGCGAAATAACAACTCCCCAACTCCAATTAGTAATCCCAAATGTTTGGAGTAATACTAATCGACTGGTTTAGGGGGATTCCGCGTCGTACTTAGTTTTAAGTCGGCGTAATTGTCCCCCAAAAACCAACTCCCTCCCGTCCCTCATCCATACCCCACCGAGCGTATAGCATAGGCTCGGCGAACCCGGGAATGGCTATTATAACTATTCGCCTCTCGCTCTCGAGCCCCAAATAGGGGACAGTACGGAACGCAATGGACATTCGCACCCAGCAAACACGGGTGAAGCCG